CCCCGGCCCCCGCCCCGGCCGGCCACCTCGCTGTTGCTGGAGCCCCGCAGCCTGCTGGTGCTCCGAGGCAGCGCCTACACGCGCCTCCTGCACGGCATCGCGGCCGCCAGCGTAGACCCGCTCGACGCCGCCTCCCTGCCGCTCAACGCGGCCGCCTGCCCGTCCGCACGGCCCGGAGCCCACCTGGTCCGCGGCACCCGCGTCTCCTTGACCATCCGCCGGGTGCCCCGAGTGCTGCGCACCGGCCTCCTCCTCAGCAAGTGATGCCCGGCCCCGGGACCCGCTGGGCTTCCCAGGCTCTCCACTCCAGCGAGCTGTGACTCTGCAACCTTGAAACTGGGGCAGAGGCGGTTCCCCTGAGTTATTTCCCCAGTAACTTTGTGGGAACCACAGAAAAAGACCTCATTTCAAATAAACAAACAAAAATCTTCCTTTGGTTTTGGATTGGGGTTGGGGGACAGATGCTTGTGTTCTTGAGGGGTGTGGGGTCTGGGACCCTAGATGGTGTGGGCCCTAGGGGTCAGAAGAGTGGCTCAGATGAGCTGGGCAGAATACAGAATTCTTTATAGAGGGCGGGATTATATCTGGAACCCCATTGGGTGGGTTGGGGTGAGCTTGGGAAGTTCAGCTACTGGTCTGCTAGGGAGTTAAGTGGTGCCACTGTCACCTGAGCGGGCATCAAATTACCTGGGTCCAGGTTTCACTTGAGGTAAAGCTGAGCCTGCTCCTGAGCCTCCATCTGCCTCAGACCTGGGTGAGTCCTACTGTGGGTGTCTGAGGGGACACCACTGGCTAGGGAAAGGGCTCTTACTGGGGATCCTCACTGGCTGCCTGTCCCCAGGCCTCCAGCTATGGCCCTGCCCCCATCTGTGGACGGTGGGCCTCACTCAGAGGCCCTCAACCATCCTCCTGGAGCCCCTAGGGAACTGGACATCGCTGAATGCACCATCTGCCCTGTTTCTGAAAAGGAAAGAAGCAGGTAGGGGCTGGGGCTTTTGAAACTTGGGTTCTAAAGGGGTGATGGCAGTAGCAGGGGCACTTTGAGGGTAAGAGGTACTGTGGCTCTGATCACCTGGGGATGTGGGAGAGGGAACCGGCGACAGGTAGGCTGGAGTGGATAATGGGCACCTAGCCTCACCTGGCCCCGTGCCTTTCAGGCCAGAGCAAGCCCAGAAACTGGACTCTTTGGACCCTCCCGAGCACTTATGGGGTGGGCTGTGGGACTCTGAGCCTACATCTGGTCACCCCAGATTGCCATCGCCTTCTTCCCATGAGGACCCCACTGGGGGCAAACACCGTGAGGTGAGCTGAAGTGACCCAGGCCCCGTGTGCCCCCACCTCCTCTCTTTCCCCTAGAATCTGGCCTCTACATTGGAGATGAATGATGATTTTGGAAAAGTGTTTGGCACCTGTGGAGGCAGGGCCACTCTACATAATGATTCAATCATTATAGAAGTATTTCAAACAGAACTATTTCATGATTGGCCCTAGCGCAACCTCATTCCTTGTTGGGGTATCCAGTTCCATCACCTCCTCCCTGTCCAGATCCCCAGGCCCTGCATGTCCACATTTCTAAGAACCTTGAAAACCTTGAGACTTTGAACTAGATGTCCTCAGGCCTTGCTCCCCTGGGAAGGACTCCAGGTGGGAGCAGCCCTGGTGCAGACCCAGAGATGGACTCTGCTGCAGAGAAGCACCCAGAAGGCAGGAGTCTGCAAAAGAGGGGCGGCAAGGTCTTGGTTGGCCCACCGACACTGACTCAGCCCTTTGTGTTTCCCAGAGCCCCATCTCTGGCTGGGAGGTATTGGAGGCTGAGCAGGACAGCCTGCACCTTTGCCTATTGGGCCTGGGCCTCTGGCTGCAGGACCTAGAGCGAGGCCTGGGGCCCTGGACATCAGCCCAGATCGGGATGGTCCAGCTGCAGGTGGGCAATGGGAGGCCAAGGTGTGGGAAGGTGGGCAGGGCCTCAGGAGTGGGTGCCAGTTCCCTGGGGTGGGAAATGGGTTTATTCCATATTCTACATATCTGGGTAGGAAAGGGGGGCATGTAATTCCAGGTCCCAGGTCTCTGGTTCCCCTGGTGTGTGTGTGAGGGGGGGAGCTCTTGGTGTCCAATCATATGTTCTCAGACCCTACAGGCAGACCTGCGTGGGGCAGCTGAGTGTGTAGATGCACTGCTGGCATTCAATGAAGGGCTGGCGCAGCGGAGTGAGCCTCAGGCCCGGGCACCCCTGCAGCAGGTCCTGAGGACCCTTGGAGCCCATCGAGACAGCATCTTCTGGAGGCTGTGGCGGCTGCAGGCCCAGCTGGTCAGCTACAGCCTGGTATGGCCCACCCCGGTGATCCTCGGCCTTGGTGTCAATTTCATAACCCCCATGATCTCTGTCCTCTGACCAGGTATTTGAGGAGGCCAACACACTGGACCAGGATTTGGAGATTGAGGCGGACTCGGACTGGCCAGGCCCTGGTGGGGTCTGGGGACCCTGGACACCCAGTAGCCTCCCCACTCCCGCAGAGTTAGAGTGGGATCCAGCAGGGGACGTTGGGGGCTTCGGGCCCTTGGGGCGAAAGACAGCCTGGACACCAGAGGCTCCCTGTGAGCTATGTGGCCACAGGGGCCCCCAGAGCAGGGGACAAGGCCTTGAGGTGAGAGCAGGTGGGGGACATCCCCACCCAGGCACCCACAGGACACCTCTGTGTACCTCCTTGCAGGGTCTGTCCCTCTCAAGGAGGTCTTGGTGGCTCTGTCTCTCCCTCTGCCTCTCTCAGTGTCTCTTTCTCTTGGTGTCTCAGTGTTTTTCTCGCCCCCCC